ATTCTGCACCCTCTCCAAGATAGCCTTTATCCTAACACCAGGCAGGCAACACACCATTCTGATTTCTCGTTGTCAGCTGCAGAAATGTCTGTCCATGTCTCTGACTAGAGAGTCCCCTATCACAATTGATCGCTTGGAACCTGACATACCCCTCGTTACAGCAGAGCCAGTCTCAGTACCTGAAACTTGGCTGTCGGTGCTACGTTACCCTGAGAGCCCATCACACCTACGTCTTCCAAAACAGCATAGTCATATGAGATGGGGATAGCTACAGGAGACTCCTGTTCGACCTGCCTACCCACTTCTACGCTTCCTTGGAGGTAACCCACCTACCTGACTGTATCTGTCATTTCCTCCCTTCCTGAAACTGCGATCCAATAGGGTTTGCAACCAAACACAATTCCTGCTGACATAATCATCAGTAACATTGAAATTCTCCCTAATTTCCCACATCCAACAGGAAGAACACATCATTCTACTAAATGCTATCTTCACACCCTAACAATCTATGACCCAGAAAATAGCAGTTTTTGGTGTAAAAGCACTGCTCCAGGATAACTCAGTATCTATGTTTTATATTTTTGAAGTTTAATCAAAAACCAATCTCACTAAAACATGTCATCAAAAATACTCCACTCTCAATTGTATTTTTAACAAAAAGGTAAGGTTAAACATTTTAAAAAAAGCCACTTAGCTGTTCCCCTGCTGTGAGCTTGCCCACAGCAGGTTTCTCCAAGGTCAGCCCTTGAATTTCACTGTTTGCTTATTTTTCTTAGAACAAACTGCGATGTCCAGTGATACTTGAAACGAAACAGTGGAGGCAGTCAGCTGTGCAGGTTCACTGCTCAGTGGCGCAGCTGGGCAGGTTCACTGCTCATTTGTTTCACTTCCCACATGGTCCCTGCACAATCTTTATTTTTTTAAAAATGCGCTGATGTTTCGATCCCTTTTTTAAAGTTACAGAACAATGCAACAGCTTATAAAACAGTAATTACTGCTCCAAAAATGTGCAGAAATCAGCCCCAACACTGAAAAGACCTCAAAAAAGGAGCAGCTCTTATAAGCCACAATTTTTTTGCATCCTACATCTTGTATTACCCAGAATTCTTTTATTCAACATGTTCAGCAAAAATAAAAGGACATTGCCACTTATGTAGTGCCTTTATCACCTTGGGACATCATAATGCTCTTCTCAGCCATTGCAGTACTTTCAATGCATCACAGTTGTAAGTTGGGGAAACACGGTAGCTAGTTTGAGTTCAAATTGGTTTTGCAATGAGCAATGATCATCTATTTTGGTATTTTGAATGAGGAATACAGTTTGAACAGGACACCAGGAGGTCTGCCCCTCTTCTAATATTGTCATGGGATCTTTTATCTCAGAAATTTCCAAATGCTTTTTGGTCTGCTTGTTTCTATCTGAAGACATTTCTTTGTATTTTTTGGTCTACTTCAGCAAAGTTGCAATGATTGGGATACTGAGATAGTTGGTAATTTTATGTGGTCTTCACCACTTCTCCCTGCCAACCAACATCAGATACTGGAAACTAATGAAGAGCTAGGGGAGATGGAGGTTTGGTGGATTGCATCTTTTGCATAATAGAAAGCAGGGGCGTGGGGTTTTCGGGGCAATGGAGAAATAAAAATTTCTGCAATAACAGGCATATTTTGTATGGCTATAGTTTCATATGGGTAAAGCTCAATCAACAAATTAGTACTAATCTAACAACAAGAATTTGAATTTTCATTATGGAAACAGACCGTTCGGTCCAACTCATCCATGCCAATTAAGTTTTCCAAACTAAACTAGTCCCACTTAACTGGTCTATCTCTGACTGCTCCCTTCCCTTCCTCGACATTTCTCTTTCCATTTCTGGGGATAGACTGGCCACTGATATCCACTACAAACCCACTAACTCCCACCGCTACCTGGACTATACATCCTCCAACCCACTTCCTGTAAAGACTCCATCCCATTCTCTCAGTTCCTCCATCTCTGTCGCATATGTTCAGATGAGGCCAACTTCGATAAGGGAGCCTCCGAAATGTCCACCTTCTTCCTCAACCGAGGATTCCCCAGCCCCGTTGCCAACAGGGCCCTCAACCAGGTCCGACCCATCTCCCGCACTTTTGCCCTCACCCCTTCTCTTCCCTCCCACAACAGCGATAGGGCTCCCCTTATCCTCACCTGCCATCCCACCAGCATCCACATCAGAAGATCTCCAGCGAGATGCCACCACCAGACATATATTCCCCTCCCCTCCCTTATCCGCCTTCTGCAGGGACCGTTCCCTCTGGACACCCTGGTCCACACTTCCTTCACCCCCAACACCTCCCCACAGCCCTACAGCACCTTCCCCTGTAACCGCTGAAGGTGCAACACCTGCCCATTTACCTCCCCCCTCCCCAGTGTTCAAGGGCACAAACATACCTTCCAGGTGAAGCAGCACTTCACCTGCACTTCCCACAATCTAGTCGACTGCATTTGCTGCTCACAGTGTGTGCTCCTCTACATTGGGGAAACGAAGTGTAGATTTGGCGACGGCTTCGCAGAACATCTACGTTCTGCTCGCAGAAAAGACCCTGAACTGCCTGTTGCCTGCCAGTTCAGTGCACCACCCTGCTCCCAGGCCAACATCTCTGTCTCTGGCTTGCTGCAGTGTTCCAGTGAAGCCCAACGCAAGCTGGAGGAATAACACCTCATTTTCCGCCTGGGGACCCTACAGCCCTCCAGAGTCCGTATTGAGTTCAATAATTTTAGGGCCTAAACTCTCCCATGTCCCAGCCCTTTACCCCACACACCAGGCCTTGTTACCACGTAGCCTGCCATTACACACCCCCTGTTGTTAGTCACTAACAGTCCCCATTAACAACTATTCACCCTCTCAGCCTGATTGTTAGCAACTCCTTTGTCTGTCCAACTGTCTTTCTGTCTCTTTGGGCTGTATCCTATTGTTTACTCCCTGCCCCACCCACCTCCCTATTTTCTGCATATAAACTGACGTTTCCCAACCACCACCAGTTCTGAGGAAGGGTCACCGGACCCGAAACGTTAACTCTGTTTTTTCCTTCACAGATGCTACCGGACCTGCTGAGCTTCTCCAGCAACTTTGCTTTTGCTCCCACTTGACTGCATTTGGCCTATATCCCTCTAAACCTTTCCTATTCATATACCTAGTCAAATGTCTTATAAATATTGTAACTGTATCTGCATTTACCACTGCCTCTGGCATTTGGGCTGATTTAGTATCTTCAGAGACAAAAGTGTATCCATTTTTATGGATGATAGAGTTTTTGATTCTTTTCATTTTGGCAGTGACTGACTTTGTTTTCAGAACTGAAAAGAAATGGATTTGTTCAAATATATAACCATCTAAAATGCGTTTTTTATTTTGGTATTCAAAGCTAATAAGTCAAATGATCCAGACTATCACTGAAGAAAACATTTTTTGCAGTTTGCTACCCATAACTGCCATAAGAGTAAGTTGTGCATATTTTTGTGAGAGAGCCTTTTTTGTCGATGGGAGGAGGCAGTTGAAAGGTCTTAAGCTGACTGAAAAGTTAATATCCTTTTGTTCTGTCCAAAAGTTCTGTTTCTTAGGAAAAGATAGAGCATATAGGAGATGCTGAACTGTGAACAGAGGCTCATCAAAAATGTTTGTGAGTCCTTGTTTTATGTCAGTTTGATAGGACATTAATGGTCTTGGTTTAATGCCTCATCAGAAAGATGGCTTGTCTGCCTTTTGATTCAGAAGTGTTACAGCTGCGTCAAGACTAATAGATTAAATTTGTTTGACATCCTGCTTCTGCAGTTGAAATGCAGTATTGATTTTAATTTGACAGTATAAATGTATCTACTTTGTAAACATGCATATGTGTTTAATGCTGAGCATTTGATCTAAAATAATCAAATGTTCTAATACATTATACACTGTGAAATTGTGAAGTTAGAAAATGAATTACTTTGATAAGTAGGATACCTTTAAGATTCCAATGAATTGCATTATTTAGCAGTCCAATGTTTTTCTTTATTGAAGAAACGTTTTCTTGCTAGCATTAGTTCATCAAGTTGCAAAATGTTAGAGCTCATGAATGGGATTTTTACATCCTGCCTCAATTTACATATTGCCATAATTAGGAATTGTTTTTTATACATTTTTTCAGAAAGCTTTCTCGCACTCAGTGATGATTCCCACCCATCAACAGAAAGCATTGAATGGGTTTCGCCTCAGTAAAACAAACAACTTCTGCTAAAATTTCATGAACTTATATTTTATTGTAATCAGAATTCAAAAATGTCTAAAAGCAAACCTTGTGACTTAATTATTTTGTTGAAGGCGGCCCAACCTCCTTCAATCAGAATGAAGTATTCACATTTCTGTGTATTTATCACAATCTTTTTCTTTTAAATGAACTAAGTTTTTCTCTAAATGTCTTTTCATCAATTTATCATATTTTCAAATTGGCATACGCACAAAGCTGGTTATATTTCCATTCATAAATGACATTCTAACTCTAAACTGGTAAACAAGTGCATTAGTGTGTTATTTGAAATGTGAGCATTCTACAACTTCACTAAATGTAGACATCCCATGGAAGCTTATTTTCTGAACAGAATATATTGGATTGTCAAAGAAGCTGTTCAACCAAAATAGAGTCTAAGTGAAGGAAAATACATTCTTTTTTAAGGACAGTTAAGTTAAACAGACGTCTGGAAACTTCTGATACAGAAATTTGTTAATGTAATACAAATGTTCTAGGTTAATAAAGTATCTAATTTCTCTTTAAATGTTATCTTCCTTCAGTAGCTGGTGTACTATTTCTTGTGGAAATAAATTCAAAACACAAAAGAGTAAAGTTTAACCTCTGTTCCTCTGTGTAAACTGTTCATTGCTACTGTATAGTCAGGGATGTCACCTGAAAATTTAAATGTCTCATTTTCTGGTTTAATTAGTTTGTTACATAGCAACAACATAAACAGTTGTTTGTTTTAATTTCAGGTATCTGTACCTCCTGTTTTCTAGTGATGACCTCTTGCCCTTGGACTATTGGGTTTTTAACACAGAAGCTCATCCCCTTCCTGTTTTGCGTTCAATGAACACTACTCTCTCTGGAAATGTGGCACTTCAGTGAAGATTTCAGAAGGACTGAAGATGAACTTCACTGTTGCATCCTAGTGCTAGCAGACAAGTGCAACAAATCTGCTCTGAAAATAAAGGGTCCTATTGAATAAGACTCGAACAATCTGAGATTAAACTGTGCAGGAAAGATGTAGACTACTGGGATAGTACATCTTTCAGAGCAGAATAACAATGAATGTATAAGTTTACAATGGTGTAGTTGGCAATCAGTACAGTACTGAAGCTGTACAATGATGAACTTTATGGCAGATATTCAAAGAAAGCTTAACAGCACTAGGAATATGTAAGTAGTACTGGATTTTGTTTTCTCCTGTACTACCTGAAGCCATTGAGAGTCACTGGTAAGAGTGTAATAGTCTCTGTTTCTTCAAAAACTGAGTATCACTTTTGTGGAGAAATCCATACTTGGTTCTCCCTAGCAAAAACGCAGCAGAGCATTCAATTTTTGTAGGATAAACCTTGGAAGAGGTTGCTTTTGAGGGTTTGTTCCAGTTCTGATGTTGCATTTGATTACAGACATCTTGGGATTGTTGGAATCTTACCAGTGCAAGTGTGCTTGTGATATTTCTGCACTTTGCAAATTTTCTTTACCCATAAAGAAGCCTTTGTGTTAATACTAAAAGAAAACATTGGCATCGTGATTTCAGATGTGAAGGCCCAGTTGACCTTCAGACTTGGTTTGATTTAGAAGAACTTCGACTTCTCATGTAGTGTATTTTCAGTATTGTAAAAAGATGTACTTTTTCCAGGATGATTCTGTTCTCATTTTAATGCAAAATCTGTAACATTTCTTCAGTACTCTATGCTATTAGCCCCAGTGAATGGCTGATGGTTTGCAATTTGGTTGAAGCAGAGCCATGTAATTGTGTTAAAATGCTTACAAGTGTGGTCAGCCTTGGTTTTCAGCTTGCATTCTGCTTAGATCTTAAAGGGCTGTTGTTCAAGAGTGGTCAGGCACTCTTCAGCACCAGTGGATAGAGGTCCTAACAGAGTGATCAGAACCTCCTGGAGTTTACACATCTTTTACGGTATTAAAGAGAAGTTGAAGATCTGTGTTGTGGGCATCACTTAATCAAGTTCTGCAAAACATTTTAAACTTCAGGTTCTTGAAAGTTACCAGGGTGAAACCTAGACAAAATTCTGCTTAATACCACTCTACACCTCCTTGCACAATTGTAAGATGGTAAAGCTACCATATTTATTCTATATACACTGCTCCTTTTAAATCAGTTGCTTAAATTATCTGATATTTCAGATTTAGTTCTAAATTCTCACTATCCTATATTATTTATGTTGTTTCATTCTTTTTATTGATATTTGAATTATTTCATACAGGAAGTGACTTTGAATTATTAGGAGTAGACTGTATATATTTCATATGCAAGCTGAAATGCAGATGTAATTAATGATTAAAAAACTGTCTGTAAGGACGTTTTCTGCTACATCATCCAGTATTTACTTTATCAATCAAAGAGGATTAATGTCCTTTCTCATCTTACGTTTTGTTTTCGAGCAGCTTGTAAACTAAGCATATGTAAGAGATTGAGGGGAAGAGAAGCTCTTATAATCCACTATTCCTAAATTTACCAATTCTAAATAGTGGGGGGGAGAAAACGCTGTCTTTCCACTTTCTGTAGCCCAAATATGTAAAAAGGGTAAATATATGAAGCTGTCCTTACCTAGCTAAGAGTGTGGTCTTGCAACGACTCTTTTCAGCAGTTGGCCACTAATAGATGTACAATAGCAGCCCAAATTTGCCCTTGATTCTATTTTTGATAAATTGCTGTCCACTTAATATTACTTGGAGGTCACTTGCAAACTGACATGATAAATGATCTCCCTTAGTCTCTCAACTTTCCTTTACATCACTGAAGCAGGAGTAGGCTATTTGGCCTCCTCCAAAATATTTTTGCTATTCACTGACACATGGCTGATCATAATACCTTTGGTTAATAAAAGTCAGCCAGTTTCTGATTTAAAGTTTAAAAATTAATATAAATTATCAGCCATTAGTTGCTGTTTGTGAACAATCATCCTTTATGTGTATAGTTTAATTCACTTCTTAAAGGATCGGTTCTAATTGTCAGATTGTGCCACTAAAGTCCACAAGCAGTAAAAATAGTTTCACATTGACTGTTCTATTTGTTCCCATTATATATTGAAAACTTTGATTAAGTCATCCCTTGACTTTCAAATTCCTGAAAAATACACCCTTTGCGTTTGTAATCTGTCATAATTTAAACCCTGGAGTCCAGATATTATAAATTTACACTCACTTCCTCCAAGGTCAGTACTTCTCCCTCAAAACCATAGCCAAACTCTTCCCTCAAAAATATTGACACTCAACCTATCTTTGTTTGCAGTTACCATTGAGTTAGTGGAAAAATGGCTCGTTAGTGGTGCATGTTTAAACAGTATGATTACAGCCATTTTCATATTGCAAAATGCCTGGTGAAAATGGTAAATGATTTTGTTCCCCTCTTTGAATCTCTTTTGCACAGTCTATTCTCTTTCCTGTTTGCTCATCCATGTAAAACTTCATTTTTTTCTGTGTGTTTTCATGATATTCAATTCATGCCATTTGCACCTACCATTCAATGTCCCTTTGTTCTTGAATGTACATGTCATTGTTTCCCAAATTTACTTGCATTTCTGACACAGATCTGTCTTTGAATCTCCAACTAGGTTTCCTCCTCTTCTGCAGCACTTAAACAGCCCTGGTCAAAGCCTCAGATGACACTTCGTATGGCACATTATACTTTCTTGTTGTTCTTGACTTTTCACAACTTTTGAAATGATTGTGCACGCCAGTGTCTCTCCTCTGTAGTACAGCTTAATGACTGTAACATTTGCAAGTCTCCAATTCTATTTGTCTGCCCATCTGTCACTGACATTCTAATCTGATTCTTTCACCAAACAGGTTTGTCGCCTTTTGTAATATATCCATCTTTCACATGACAGCATACTGTTAATTATTTTGATGCCTTTGTGAATTAGCCTGGGGTGTTATTCTATATTAAATGCTAGCTGTTGCTGGATTGGTTGGAAATCTAATACTCTGCCTCTCGCCTGTACAACCTGGAGTAGCAAATAGGAAAGCATTTCAGATCTCCTGAAACCCAGGTGGGCACCTGTAGCTATGCTGTTCCACAATGATGATATCATAGTATATTAATATGGTTCATTGTCTGTAAAATAATTACTCACATGAGACCTAATTGTACAATCTGGATGAATTCTGTAAAGTATGTACAAAGGTTGAATGCTATTCAACTGATTGCTTTTAACAAAGATGATAATGCACAATTGTTTGTGTATTCCTGTTAAGTGTAGCTAACTAATTTCTTATTAATCATGCAACTTACAGTAGATAAGCAGAATCCGTGGATTCCTCGTAATGTGATTGTTCCCAGTCAACAAATATTTTTATGAACCTGCGTGGAGACCAAATTTATTTTAAAAACTCTGTTTACATCAGGGATTAAGTTCACATCAGTCAAAGAAAACTTTTATGAACTCATCCAAAGCATAGACTCTGGTCTTATCAGAGCCAAACCTTTAATCTTCTGTTAGAACTTTTCCTGCAGATGTGCTGAGAGTACAGGTAGACTAAAAATAACGTATGTGAACCAGTTGCCAGAGATGCAGCAGAGGTCTAGTTACAAAATCAAGTCATGATGAATGACTGTGCTAATGTATTTGTGTAATTTCAACTCCTTCCTTTCATTTGTATGAGGAAGTACAATGGTGTCCAGTACTCAATTTCTGCATGATGTACAAATACTAATTGTGTTTGAATTTTGCCAAGGTCTGTAGTGAGAGAATACTACTTTCCATTACAGTTCTGAACTGAATTAGAACAGAAAATATTCTCCTGATAGGGATGTAAATAAATTAAAATTTTGGTACATTTGAGTTTAGCGCACAACTACTGTACCAAGCTGTTTTCAAAAAGTGCTAGAGAAGAAGAGGGCATTGTGGAAAACAAATCATTGTGTTATTAAATGCATCTTGTTTAGTTTGACTCAAAACACAAGTGAAACACTGCTCTTTTTGTATCTATTCTTTTGCCGCTCACATCACTGGTTTAAAAATAGGACGATTTATTTTATTTATTGTCACGCGTGCCTTATTATAAAATACAGTGAAAAGTCTTGTATAGTGTCACCACTCTCTAGCACCATCTGAAAACACAAAAATAAACCAAAATATAGAATATAAAGGCAAAAAAATGAAAAAAAGTGTTCCCAACTTTACAGTCCTCTTGTTAAGTTCTCCGTGATGCGCCTGGTGGCCAAGCATAAGTCCCCTTCATCCCACCACCGCCACTGGAGCAAATGTTGCCACTCTTAGACAGCATCTCGCCTCCACCTACGCCCTCGCCATTATGAGTACTTGCTGGTCCTCGCCCATGCAGCTGCCAATGATGCCACTGGGTACTGCATCGGCTCAAACTCAATGCTGCTGCCATGAATCTACTTTGGACCCACCTCGCTACTGCTGATGCCTCTGCGTCTTGTATTAGGCCCAAACTCGCCGCCGCAGCAGCAGCCATGAGTTGGCATTAGGACTGACTCGATGATGCAGAAGCTGTTGGGAACCCAAACTTGCAGCCACGAGTCCACATTGCTGAGTGTGCTCATGTCTGTGCTGTTGGGCCCACTTGCTGCTGTCGATGTCTTTGCCGCAACTAAACTCTTCACCGAGAGAAAAGACTAGAGAAGAGAGAAGAAAAGAAATGAAACAAAAAAAAAAGAGCAGAGTGGATGAGCCCCAGGTCAGAAGCCCTATTCCACCCCTATCTTACTGGAATCTTACGAGTTATGTCCATTCCTATCTATATTGTTAGGCTAAGCACCAGATAACTGAGAATTCTATGACAACATACTTTCTATAGATGAAATCAGAATTACAATATTGAAGACAAATCTGGATTGCCTGCTATGTTGTTTGAAGGTTTTTGGGGTCAGGGGTCAAGGATCAAGTTACAGAAGAACCACAAGGAATCAGGTTTTCAAAAAACTGACTCTGATGTCCATCCAACGGTTTACTGTATTTATGTTGCCAATTGACATTCTGCTGCAAGTGTTTGCTTCACTGAAATTCTTAAATGTTAATGCCACTTAAGAAAGGAATCTCTGCAAGTAAGATGCCATTCATAACAAATGTGCAGATTTTTATACTTATTTTTAGTTACATATCTACTTGATTGTTCAGAGCTTGATTAAATATATTCCTCAAAATAACGGACTTCTGCAGAGATCAGGAATCTACGTAAGGAAGCTTTTAGCCTAGTGCTGCAAAACAAATATTCAGCTGAAACATGTGAAACGATTGCATTTGAAATGTGTACCTGTGAAAAGCCTGCTCTTACCTTCTCTCTTTTTGTGATGGTTAGAATTCCTAAAATGGTTTTTGCCATTCTCCATAATCTTTGTTTAACTTCTATTGATTCTGCAGACACCTTTTAATAGCTGCAAGTGAGTGTTAATTCAGCTTTTGTAATTAAGAACAGCTTGCTAAGATTCATGGATAATTGAGAAATTCTAGTTACATATCTAAATGTTGTCACCAAGCCATTTTTACATTGCAAAAGGTTCTAGTAAATAACAGTTTTGTTCTTTCTTGGTGTTGGGGGTTACCTTTCATTTTGCACAATTTTCTTTTCCCCTACCTGATGCTCATTTTATTTCTTGCACTTTCAGCACCTCTTATTTCCTTCTTTCAACCTTCCCTATTTTTAATTTCCAACTTGGACTGCTTATATATTTTCTCCTTTCCAATCTCAACCATTCTCATTTATTTACTTTTTGCAGTTGGCATCCATTCATTCACCAATTTTGAAAAACTGCATAATCCATAAGAGGGGGAATAGGCCATAAAGACTCTTGAAGCTGTTCTATCATTCAGGTAAATCATGATTGACCTGTACCTCAACTTCAACTATTATGCCAGTCACTTTAATACCTTTATCCAGCAACATTTAAGTTGCCTACTCTCAGAAGCTTTTTGAGGGACAGTGCTTCAAATTTCTGCTATGATTCATGTAACACTATGCATCCTTAAAATGAAATGACAAACTGTTTAGTGAATTGATTGGACATCAATGAATGACTTGCACTGCCTAATTGTGCTCCCTTCTTACCGTTCCACTTTACTACAGAAGGCAGCCATGGTGCTTATTGTTAAATGTGACGTACAGTTTTAAACAGAGAAATGGGCAGGTTCCTTTCAAGAGAAAGAAAAGACCGCATTTCATTTCATTTTTCAGCATTGACACTTTTTTTTGAAAGTTTGATTCAGTGAGAAGAAGAACATGTGTAGATGGTCATTGGGAGTTTTCATCAAACTCCTAAAGTGTGCAGGAAAAGATATCCAAATGACAATCATCCATGACTAATTAGTGTTAGTTTTTCCCCTGTAGTTGCATTGCCCTTAATTTGTTGGCTAAACACTGAGACTTCAGCTTCATGTTTTAGCAATGCTGTATAGTTTGGCAAGAATGCAATGATGGGTCCAGTGTGACTGAGGTAAAGCTTTCTTGAACAAACACAATTTAGCTGAAATCAATCTAGCCAATGTAAGAGGTCAAGGTATTTCAAGTCTGTTACATCTAGCAATTTTTACAATCCTTCCAAATTTAAAAAGAGGCTTCAGAAGCCAGCCCATTCTCAAATCCAGCCATGCTGTGGAATTAGAGAACATGGCAAGCTTTTGACAATTCTGCCCTTAGGGGATGCTTTTGGAGTTAAGGTTTCTTTTATAGACAAGGCACTAGTAAATAATCCCTGTTTTAAAAAGATCTTAATCATTGAAAACTTGTTAAGATGCTGACTAGTATACATCAATGAAGCTAGTAAATACTTCTATAGTTTTTTTTTACAGTTTTTAAGTAATTTAACATCTGGTTATAACACAGTAACAATGCACATAAATAGCTCTTATTTAAAATTGCATGTGCTCCGTTATTTGCAGACCTGAAAGATGCCCCATTAAATCTGAGGTAAGCGTACAATTTAAGATCTAGTTCAAGCATTTCCAAAACTTGAGCAGTTGTCTCAAATTTCATTTATGGTCACATCACCTGTATCCATGATCTTTGTGTTCAGTCCACTCTTTCTCTGATTACTACTTTGTACCCACGTTGCAATCATTATGATTCTGGAGGAATGCAGTGGTAATCAAGGCCTATTACTCCACGATCCATATCATTACTGTAATTATTTTAATTTGATCACTAGAATGACAAAATTGTTTCCCATTATTGTTGTTACACAGAATAAAAGAGACTTTTGCCAGATTACTTTAATAAACTCAAAAAAACTTATTATAAACAAAATGTATTAATTGAACAAGTGAAAAAAGTGATTAACAACAAAGTTATATTCCAGCATTAGACCATCACAACCTAATCCAAATAAATATATTCAAATGACAAACTTTAATAACGTCACCATAGTTCTACCAGATCATAGGACTGCTCTCTGACAGAGAGATTGAAAAGGTTAGCCCTTCACAGTGATATCAACCAGTTGGGAATTGAAACAACACTGTCATATTTCAGAGTGAAGCCAACAAATGAGACAATGTAGCTTTGCAGAGATAATAGGTTCCAAAAAACGTCAAAAAGGAGGAAAAATACCCCAATTGTCAAGGTTCTGCACTTAAAGGATAAATGGAGTAACATCTCACAGTTCTGTCAGTTTTCTGTCATTGAGATTGAAATGCTGGATCACTGTTGAATAATGGAAAATCTTCAGTTCAGATTGAAAGTCAGTTAGAGTTGGGTCTTTCAATAGAACAGTTCACCTTTCAGGTTTCAAGAGATAAGTTGGCAATACTGATATCTGGAACTTTCTCAGGTATCCAGAAATACTTCACTGAGAAAGAGAATACTTTGTCCTGCAGTTGAGTTTGTCTTAGACTAGCACATTGCACACTTTTGAGGTCTTCTGACATACTTGGATATCCTGAAAAAACAGAACAAACCAGCATATAGTCCTCATCTCTTCTAAATAAAGTTTGTGCAGCAACTAAAGTCATAAATCTCTTAAAAACACTGCATATCTCCTCGTCAAAACTTATTTGACCAATCAGTAGCTAGCAGATGGGTCACATTACTGTTGAAGTATTTCAAGAATCATGGGGTGAGGGAAGTGCTGCTGTGGCACAGTGGTAGGCCCCCTAATTCAGAAACGGTGTGCAATCGAATTCCTGAACAGGTTGATTAGAAATATATACGGCTGTCTCCATGTGGTGCAGTGATAGTATCCCTACCTCTGAGCCAGGAGGCTCCAGAAGTGTGTGGTAACATTTCCAAACAGGTTGATTGGAAAAATACAAAGGAATCATGGCCCAGATATTCTGTGGATCAGTCTGTATTTCAGCATAGATTGGAGTGTGCTTGGGGACCCTGTGCAATCCCCATTGTGGTGCATGCTAAAGGAATTGTCTAGGATATTGAAATTTCTTCTGGGCGCTTCCTCCATGTGTAGAATGCTCCAAAATCCTCTATTTTAAATAGGAGATTATGGAGGAGTTGAACAAAAATTAGTAAAATAGTTATTTAGGCCTTTCCTAATTCTTGAATGACTACTAAACAGCACACCTGCCTCACACACTTCCAACAACACATCTCTCAGAATCTGACATGTCCATCACCCTTCCATGTGCTGCCAGAATGAAACCCAACCTGAAACCATTTCCTCCCTCCATCCCAACCCACCTTCCCTAAATGCTGGAGAAACATACCTTGCACCCTGGGATCTACTCAACTGCCACCCTTTCCATTTGCCACCTCACTCATCTAGCACCCTAACCCCTCCCCAACTTCCAACCTGCATCCTAAACCCAGCACACCATCTCCCTGCCCATCTGGCATCATACCTTCTCTCCGTATGCACGTCCAGGTTTATATAGTAAATAGGGTGAGTGTGCTGGAGGAATTGAAAATCTTATCGTATGCAGAACTGATGAGATTACAAGTTATAGAAGATAGTTCTCAATTTTCAAACTGGTGGCATTTTATGAA